GTCATTTTGTGTCAGGATCAAAAAACTGTGAAAAAATTTTTTTGTGAAAAGTTCATTTTTTTGGCCAATGAAGCTTTTAGCAATTATTTAAAATGCATCTGATCACTCTACACAATAATCTAGAAACAATGTGAATGAACACCACAACAACTTAAGCAACAAACTTTGCAAAGCACAAAATTTATGTCACTGCTAAAACTTTTGGCCGTGACTGTACATACTGACTTCAACTTGGACCACTAAACAAATAGACTGCTATTGTTATGTAAGTATGAGGGTTAGATTATTTAGTGTACAGGTCATTTCAAGAGTGATAAACAAAGTGATAGAAAATATTTATTTTAATGCATTTTAAATGTTTAAAAATGTGGAAACCACTCATTGCATCATCTCCTGACTGCATTATTATATGTAAAATAGGGGCTTTATGGAGTGTGTGTATACATGGCTATAAGTATAACAGTTAATATTTCATTAATTTAGGGAAATGAACAAGTGTCTTAGCCCTCAAGGGACTATTTGGCCAACCAGCTTATTCCTGCTTGAAAAGCTAAATGTTATTGATAGTGTAAAAAATATCAACTTTGAAGCACATGTGATTGATGGACTAGCATTACTCAACATTACTTACTACCTTACAGCAACACTACATTCAATGAAGGTAAAATAGTAAAAAAAAAAAAATAGTTAATTTAAATGGAACTGGAACCGGAATCGTTAGGCAAAACTGGAACCGGAACCGGAACCGGAAAATTTCTAACGATACCCAACCCTAGTCCTGTTAAACTTGTACTCATGTGAATAAGAGTTTCCAACATTCAGACAAGTAAAATGTAGATTGTCTGTTTGTCAAATGTCTTTTTGCAATACAAAAATTTTGCTATACAAAAAATAAATCTGCTAAATTAATAAATGTAAGTGTAAATCATTCAAAGTAGAGATGCAGCAAGTTTTTACATTTTCAAGATTATTTTTATAATAATCATAATAATAACATTTTATTGCTTTTAAATAAGTTATTTTATTAAAAAAAATGTATATAGTTTTTTGGGGGTCAATCCTGTTATGCAGTGCCTCTGTAATTTATAATCTAAAAATATAGTTAGTGTTATATAATAATATATATATATATATATATGTAGCTTATAATTATAATAAAAATTGTATGCATGCATACCCACTTTTCCATGTTCATAAACTTTGCATGCATATGAATGGGGGCGAATGGATGATCAAGTGTAGTGTGACAGCATTATAAGAATTTAAGCCAAAAGCCAGTGCTTTAGCTAGCATTACATAAAGTTGCATTGTACATGTTGAGTAAGTATTCTTATTTGTAGTTTAATTATACTCATTGTTTATGTTCAATGGCACATCAGAAACTGAACCCAAAGACGCAGGGTCGGAAAAATCCTCCGGGGTGGTTCGTCTCAACACTATTCGACAGATCATTGAACAGGTAATTGAGTATGCACACACAAATTAATAATCAAAACTTACTGCATTCTTTTGTTTCACTCAGAGTTAATCACATAAATGTCCCTTTAAGCTGTGTATATTTTACCTATGTTTAACCATGACCAATTCTGATGCAGGACAAGCATGCTCTCCTGGACGTCACCCCTAAAGCTGTGGACACCCTGAACTACACGCAGTGGTACCCCATAGTCATCCTCCTTTTCCCGGACAGCAAACATGGGGTGAAGGCGATGAGACAGAGGATCATCCCCAGCTCTAACCGCAGTGCCCGCAAACTCTACGACCAAGCTCTGAAGCTCAGGAAAACCTGCTCACACCTGTCTACCGGTCAGTCCTGGGGGTCCAGACGCCATGTTAAAAAAATCGCTCATTATTTTCTCGACCCTATATTGTTCCAAACCTATATGACTTTCTTTCTGGAACATTAAAGTCATATAATTAGCTTAAATTTAAATTCTTTTATTATTTACTTATTTTAATTAAAGATCATAGCATTATAGAAGTGAGTTTTGCTTGGGTAAGCATGTGCTTTTTTTAAGAAAATGTAAAAATAGACTGTAAAATTATTCTGTGTATTAAAATGCTTAAGAACTGAATTAAGGGGAAGTGCAGTAAAGAGAAGCTATGGTGTATTGTGATTGGCACATATCAATATAAGCTGACTTTGATACAGATTCCAATTTGAAAATCTCCAAATGATTACAGCAGCTGATGGGAACACAGTGAGATAAATAGATCAAGTTGAACCTAGAGAACAGCTGACCCAAATCTAAAGGTTTTGATTTCCTCTCTCTTTCTCCCTCCCTCCCCCATCGGTCTGTTAGCCGTTATCGATCTGAACTCGGCTAATGATGCCTGGTACGGCAGTTTGAAGGAGACCATACGAGACCAGCAGACCCACGCTGTGTGGGTCTCAGAGGGGAAGGTAAAAACAATGAACGATATAGTTCTCCACCACCTTCTATCCACTCTGCAACAAAACCTTCTATTAAAGTCAACATGAAACACTGTTTACAGACCATTTTGCTTCTGCCATCTGATGCTTGAAATTAATCGCTTATATTCCTCAATTGTATGTCACTTTGGATAAAAGCATATGCTAATTGAATACATGTAAATGTAAATAATTAAAAGTTAGAGATGCAGCAAGATTATCCTAATATTAATTAAACTAGTGATGAAACGATTACCGGTTTGACGATAAATCATGATAAAATTCCCCACGGTTA